GAAGTGTTTGACAATTTTGACATACTTTGGTATTTTAGCTATATCTTGAGCTACAGATATTAGATCAAGATGATCCTTGAGCCATTTTGAAGATAAGACATAGAACTACATTTCTTGTGAAGATATTAGTATTCAGTTCATGAGTTTTTCTGGCCAAAAAGCTGAAATTTGTTGCCAAAAGCTGAAACAGGAGATTTACCGATTAGAGGTATTTTGGTGATTTTACAGCCTACAGATAACCAAATAAGTTGATTCTTGATGTGCTGGAAATTTAACTCAAAGGGATACAACTTTTATGTTTTGAGAAAGAGCAAACTTAGCTTTCATGATGGAGAAATTTGTGGTTAAAATTGGTAAAAAAATAGAGAAAATTCTAGAAGTTGTCAAAATGTGCCAGACCTACACAAAGAAGAAATGGTTCCTGTGACGCCCCGAAAAGTATGAGTGTGAGAACCCGTAAAAACCCTAATCTTTTCCGAGGGTTTTACTTCCTTTAATAGCATGTTTTCTGCGTTTTCTGGCTTAGGAAATTTTCATGAGAAATTTTTATGAGTAATTATAGTTTTTAGATGATTTTTCTAGCCTTGGAGAGTTTTTGGAAAATTAAGAGTGTATAATTGACGTGGGACCCACTAGTGCGAAAAGTTCGGAAAAATTCGGCCAATAAGGTTAAGTTTCGGATACTATGTAAAATTTATCGGGTGTTAAGAGATAAGTAGAGAGTGAGATTTGATTGATGTGAGAGGAAAAAGAAGTGATAAGATTGCATTAATCAGGTGACAAGTGTCACCCTCTTATTGGTTTTACTTTAAGATTTACTATTCCAATTTTTGACTTTTTTTGACCAAAGGTTAAATATCTTAAAAATTGCCCAAAAATCACCATTTCTTACCTTTGGATGGCCGGCCCTCTCTAGCAAGAAGAAAGACAAAGCTCTTCAACATCTTGGCAAATTCCTAGCTCAAATCATCCAAACTACTTGCCTAAATTAGTTTTTACTCCATAAAATTCCTTCCTTGGGTGCTAGTAGGTAGTTTAGTGAAGTTTGTTTGAAGAGCTAAGGTGTCCAACATCTCTATCTCTCTTGGTTACTAGGTGAGTGGTGTGTGAATTCCCTCTTGCACTTAATGAAGCTTAAGTTATGCTTATTAGTGATTAAAGTGCTGAAATTTCTGGTTTTCATCTTGGTTTGAAGTGATTTGGTGAAGTTTTTATTTTATTGATGATTTTTCTGGTTTAATTGGATTATGATGGTGTGGTTGTTTATGATGATTGGCAATGGCCTATAATGACACTAGTAGGTGTGAATTGTTGATATTTGCAATCAATTTTGGGTTTGGAATGAATTATGAAAAGTTAGGCTTCATAAACCCCTAATTCTGTCCGGTTTTAGATCATAGGGTTAGACGCCGAATTGGACTTTGCTCAAAACATGAAAGTTGTAGGTATTGATGAGTTTTAAGTTCCTTCAAAATTTCAGGTCATTTAGATTAGTGTAAAGTGAGATATGTCGATTTTACTATTGCTGATCTGGGTTGCTCAGAATGTGAAAACTGCGCTTGTAATCGTTTGTTTTGACTGGAATTGGTTTGAATTTTGTTGTTGGTGTCTTCTGAGGAAATGTAGCTGGATGTCTTAGCTAACATATTCCTTTGGAATTTCGACATTTGGACCTGTATAGACTGAGTTGTGTTCATTACAGCATTGTGTGATTTGTGAACCTGTTTTAGTGGTTCTGGTTTGGTATTTTTGGCATATTTGACCTAGTTGTGCTAGGAACTGGACTGAGTGACCTTCTACATTGTTGTAGCCCTGGTTCTTAGCTTCGAAACGGTGGGTCTTACACCCTCATCCGACAATCGTAGTGCCTTTGGTACCATTACCGCAAAATGACGTCAAAACCTATTTTTCTGGTTTTGAACTTAACTTTCATTTCCAGACTTTTTCATAGCTTGACTTGTCTTTGTACTACTTGGAGCTTGCTGAATGACTATTGGATGAACTTGTTGTTGTGTGTGTACCTTTGGGACTGGCTGAGGAAATAATGAGGCCATGATGGCTGGGAAAGTAAGCAAATTCAGGGGAAGTGCTGTCCGAACTTTTAAAGGACTTGTTTGCATTGAGTTTGTGATCTAAGACTTGGATTTGAGCAAGGCAATGATACATGATTGATGGTTTCTGAGCCGTGGAGGTGAGTGACCCCAAACTGCTGTTAAAGCTTCTTATGAACCGATTCTTGCACTATTTACTTGATTGCATATCATGAGTGCTTGCATGTTGCCCATGACATGTTTTGGCTTAAATGAGTGCTTGGAATTCGTGTGCTGAACACCAACGTCTCCACCTCTGTGTACTGTTCATCTGGAGCAAATGGCTCCCCACTGACTGTTTACTGTTTAATGTTTGTTTGGAGCGTTGGGTGTTTATGTACAACGATTTCGCTGGCTCACGAGAGCAATAAATGTACATTTGATCTTGAAATCATGACATCACTGAAATGAACAACTGTGAAACTGAATTGATTACTGATTTTAATGGTTACTCGCTGAGCTTCTAGCTCACCCCAAAAATGTTTTATTTCCCCCCACAGGGCTCAAGGCGAAGAAAAGCTTGGAGTGCTTATTCACGTGACTGGATGGCTTATATCGTGTATAGTTTAAGTTTGGATCTATTTTATGTACGAGTTGGTCTTGTATAAATATTTGAAATTGATATGGATGTAAGTATACGTTCCACGATTGGAATCAGTTTCCGCTGCATTTGTAATATGTAACCATTGGAGAATTTGATGTAATTTTGAGATTTATATTGTAATTGGGTTGAGGACTGTAGTGAGCGACTGAGTCCCGGCGAGAGCTGGGCAGGCGGTCCGCCGAACCCTGGGATACGCCCTAGGGGGAGGTGGGGCTGTTACAGTTCCGACCATTTGTCAAAGAAAAAAAAAAGCACAAAGAAGAAATGGGGACAAAAAACGTAGACATATCCCTTATTTTCTACCATACATTTCCTTGAAAATCATAGATTTTGGCTATTTGTAACTTGCATCTCATTTTCGGCTCATTTTCAGCCATTTTCAGAATAGATTTCGACTATAGACTGTACAAAATATATTTGAGCATGATGAAGTGGATGAAATAGCCCCTTGTTTCTCATTCATTTGAGCATGATGAAGTTGAAGAAATAGCGTAGAAGTAGAGATAAAAAGTAGTTTAGTTTTAGTTTCATATTATGATTTTCTTTGTTAGTGTAAGATCTTTAAGAAGAAAGTAAGAGCAGTCTTGTATTAAGCACATTTGAGAGATCAATTTGTGAAGGAATTCAAGGATTCAAGCTTCAGGACATTGAATAAGAATTCTTCTTCCTAATCTTTGTCCCTTGTTCTTATTTGTCATGTTTTGTTACAAGTTTGTTACATATTTAGATGTTCTTAATATGATGTCTAACTAAACTTTTTTTTACCACCAAGGGTGAAAATGAATTGTTGTAGTTTGATATGAACTAGTTAGGGAATGATTATATTTTTTTTTCATAATTTGTTAGTTTGAGAACTTGTGCTTATGCTTTATAGTTGTTTGGCCATCAACTATGAATGATTTGGCAATTGTTAAGCAATAAAAGTTGCCTTCAAATAGGTCAAAATTTGTAAACACTAGCCTTATTTTCACGAAAGTAGTGAATAATGGTTGGTTGCATTCATTCGATAATTTCATTGAATTTATTTAAATTTTTTTGGCCAACCTCGAGAACGAGAGAGGGATGCTAGCGCCGATTTATTATAACAAAGAAAAATTACAATCAGGAACCCACAGATACACGGACATCATAGCGAGCTCTTTTACAGAAACTTGAGAGTCCTAATCGATCAACTCAAACTTCTCCTCGGACCAAACCAGGCAATGTCTCAAAGCTATCAAATAAACAATCCCTCTCCAAATCAACACCTACATTTGCCAGCCTCCCTGTAACAATGTGAAATAGCATGAAAATAATTCTTATACCTCGGCAATTCCTCCAAATCCTTTTGTAGCTTCCAAGGATAAGCACAACTGTCCTATATCAATTTTATTAAAACAAGAGAGTCAGTCTCAATATGCAAATCATAATAACTCCTAGATAGACACTGTTGAACCTCAAAAACCATAGCCTTAAGTTTCGCATGTAAACTTGTTTAGGAACCAAAAAAACAGGAATGACCAAAGATGAAATTCCCTCTCTAATCATGCAACAAACCACCCCCACCAGTTAAACTTGGGTTCCCCCAAGAATACCCATCCGAATTCAACTTGAAACTCATCGTGAGGGCGTACCATTTGACAGCCATAATCAAAACATTCCTCGGGTGACCAACCAAGAAGCAAAGAAATGTTTCCCAAGAGAAAAAGGACACAACTGCATCTTCAAATTGGACATGATGAAGGCTTTTGATAGGGTGTCATGGTGGTTTTTACGGCAGCTCTTCTGCAAGTTTGGTTTTGACTATCGTTTCATTTTTCTTATTTTGAATAACCTCTCCCACAGCTGGTTTTCTGTGTTGGTAAATGGCAGGGCCAGGGGATTTTTCCAGGCATCCCGTGGCGCCCTACGCAACACTGCGTGGATGTGTTCGGGTCACACATTTGGCCTTCGCGAACGACGTCATCATTTTTGCTCGGGGAGATAAGAGGTCGGTAGGGAATTTGGTTCATTTCTTAAATCTATATCAAACTGCAACAGGCCAGCGGGTTAACAACCATAAGAGCTTATTCATAGCATTGCGTCGGTGTGGTTCTGGCCAAATTCGACGGATTCAGCAGATGACCGGTTTCAGGCATGGGGCCTGCCTCTCCCGTATCTGGGATGCAATCTATCTGCTGGACGTCGAAAAAGCTGTACTTCCAATTTTTAATAGACAAATTCATTACTAAACTTGAGGGCTGGCAGAAAAAGCTTCTCTCCCAGGGGGACGACTTATACTCATTAAGCATGCGCTTTCGGCCATACCTACGCACGTGTTAGCCGTTATGGACCCGCCATCCGGGGTGCTCAAGGAACTGGAGCGGATAATGGCGAATTTTTTCTGGGGTCAGACGGAGCTGGGCCCTAAACACCACTGGCGTTCCTGGGAAAAACTATGCTTTCCAGTGGAGGAAGATGGCCTTGGCATACGATCCTTTAAAGACATACAGGGGGCGTTCAGCTGCAAACTGTGGTGGCGTTTCCGCCATTCCACCTCCTTGTGGGCTCTTTTCATGAGGTCTCGTTATAGTGAAGACAATGGGGCAATCCGCGGGACATCCAGAGTCTGGCGACGAATGCTGGCTGTTTCTGATACGGTGGCATAGGTCACCCGAGTTATAGACTTGGAAGACGGGGGTCGACCAGCTTGAACTCTAACATCCTCTGGTGATTTCACTGTTTCCTCAGCATGGGAGGCTCTGCCTCTAAACGGGCTTGCCTTGGATCTAGGAGAAGTGTATGGAGTGGTCGAGTTCCTTGCAAAATCGCCGTTTTTATGTGGAAGCTACTTAATAAGTTCCTCCCATTCCCTGATGCCCTCCAGAGGTTTGGCCTTCACTCCCCTCTAAGTGCCCGTTCTGCCTGAATGGAGAGTCTCAAGAGCACATATTCTCGGGCTGCTTCCTAGCATCTGAGGTATGGAGTTTCTTTGCCAGGGTAATGTGGATTCCCAATGCACCTTCGACGGACATTCTCTGCAGGCTACAGCAATGGTGGCTTTGTCACCCTCCAAGCTCTGCACGGGGAAAGCTGTGCAGGGTGTTGCCGTCGCTAATCTGTTGGGGACTTTGGAAGGCTAGGAACATGGCGGTATATGAGGGGGTTATCTTATCAACATCGCAGGTTTGCTGGAATATTCAATCGTTGTTGCATCACATGTCCCAGGTCTGGCCTTTGGTTCAAGTGACGGCGGGATGAGGGGAACTGGTCCACTCGGGTTTGTTACTTTCGACTGACACCGTGAGCGGATGCTCCCGCGCTGGGTCGTTTGGGAAAAACCCGGACGGGTATGTCAAACTGAATGTTGATGGCTCATCTCTAGGGAATCCAAGCTCCTCTGGTGCTGGAGGGTGCTGCGTGACTCGGGGAGTAGTGTCCTACGCGGTTTCTCATCCTTCTTGGGATCAAGGACAAATATGGAAGCGAAGCCTTGGCATTACTGGAGGGTATTCTACTCTCCACAGATTTCCCCCCTACAGGTTCAAATGGACTCTCAGGTGCTGCTGGCTATGGTGAATGGCAATGGAAGAATTCCTTGGACGCTATGGAAACTATCTCACGCATCCAACCTTAGCGCGGGGCCCGCTAGGTCACTTTCACTCATGTTTATCGGGAGGCAAACGGGTGCCGACGCGCTTGCAAAACTAGCTAGTTCCACAGGTGTCTGTCAAAGCTTTGGTGTGTCAACACTTCCGGACCATATACAGGGGTTAGCCCGCCTAGATAGGATGTGAGTACCTTATGTACGGTTGCATTAGCTTTCCTGGTTCGCGTTCAGACCAACTGCTGTATGCGTGTGTCTATTGAATAAATTCTGGAGTGGCGCCCCACCTCGTGTACGAGGTTAACCAAAAAAAAAAAAGACGAACTGCTGGAAATTGCACGTGAAATAACTCTCGTAATTGGTAGAAAACTCGATCAACAATCTCTTCCCATCCCAAACTCCGCCCTAAAAAATGCACTATTTCTTGCCCTTCACAACTCCCAACATATTAAAGAAGGAAGAATACCAAAAACAAATGCCAAATATAAACTCTTCAATGGGCAAATCCATCACATCAGCACCATATGCCGGATTGTGCTAACTGATGATGATTCACAAGCATGAATCTCAAACGCGCCCCAAACTTGTCGTGCAACCTCATCTGTGCAAAAGACATGATTCAAATGCTCCTTTTGAGGCTCTTGACAACAAAAACACCGAGAAGGTCCCTAAACTCTGAACCTTCGCAATTGTTCCATGAGGGGAAGCTTGAAAAATAGAAGCCTAAGTATAAAAAAGGAAATTTTGATGGGAAATAATTTGTGCCAAGCACAAGAGGCAAGCCAACGAAACATTCATAGTCCGTCTGACAATTAAGTATATAGAGGAAATCGAGAATTCACCACTTTTATTTAATGTCCTTACCATTCTATCTGACTCTTGAAGAGATGGAGGCGTGAAATTTATTACCTGCTTAACGACCTTTGGTTCCAAAAGTTGCCTAAGCATCTGAACATTCCATACCCTCCCAGCAACAAAGTCAACCACCACATGTTCATGAAATATCTCTACCCTTTGACATAAAGTACCCGAACATATCTAATTGTCATACCAAAAATCCATCGATCCCTCTCAAACAATCCAGCCAATATACTCCTCTCTACTCTGCACTAAATGCAACCCCCGCTAAGCATAAGATCGCATGGAACCCTCCTCTGCAAGACAAGGATGCAGCCCTCCACAAAATTTTAGGGACATAACTTTTGCCCACAGAGATTTTTTTTGCCTAAAGTTTCACCAAAGCTTCATAGAAAAAGTTGGGATGCACAAAAAATAGCTCTTTTGCTGATTAATCTTGTACCCCAAAATCACACAATAATCATCCAAAATGCCCATCAACAAATGTAAAGACGATTTCAGGCCACTAGTAAAATAGCCATGTCATCCGCATAGGCCAAATAAGTAATCATTAGACAACCCAAAGGTACTTTAAATGGATTAAATATGCTCTGTAGGATTAAAGTATTCAAAGATCTAGATAAAACTTCAGCTCCAATAACAAACAAAGCCAAAAAAAATTGGATCCCCTTGATGCAAACCCCATGTTGTAAAAAACCATTGATAATCATCGAAAGCCATACATTAGAAATCAGTCTCTATATAATATCAATTCAAGTTTCACCGAACCCAAATCGACATATGACTTGCAAAAGAAACATCCATGACACTCTATCATACGCTTTCATCATATCCAACTTAATCATCACATTGCCCCCAGGATTGGCCTTCCTAATATCAGTCAACAATTCTTGAACTAATAGAAAATTGTTAGAGATTTGCCTTGACGTCAGTCAATAGTTCTTGGGCTAATAGAAAATTATTAGAGATTTGTCTCCCCTTGACAAAGTCACTTTGTTGCGGTGAGATAATACACAGAAAAATGATAGCTAATCGGTTCGATAAAATACGAGAAATAACTTTGTTAATGAAATTACACAATCTGATAGGTTAGAATTGTGTAAAGCATTGTGGACAGTGGCTTTCATCCATAGAAAAGAACTACATTTTCAACTTCCTGGATGGATAGCACCTTCGTCAATATCACATTATTCTGATCAGTAACTACCTTAGGAATAACATTTAAAAAGTCATATGATACCGGGCAAGAATCAATCATAAATAAGTCTTGGAAAAAGGAAACCGCTTCACTACATGTTTGAGGCTCAAAATCAAGCCAATCACCATTAGCTTTTTGAATACGGTGAATGATCGCCCCCTATTCCTCTTCTCGGTTACCACCGCATGAAAGTATTTAGAATTCCTGTCCCCATCCGTCAGACACTTCACCATTGCTTTCTGCTTCTAGAATCCTTCTTCTATTATCGAAGTATTTCTAAGCCTTGCGTATGCCTCTTGTAAGCTAATAAACAAGTGTTCCAATGGATCATTGTCATCTGCAACTTTAGCCTCTAACTCGTTCTGCATCCCTAATAGCTGTAAAAATATCCCAAAATGTCTCCTTGGACCACCTTTTAAGCGCTTGTTTAACATTGCAAAATTTATCAGTCAAAATGAGCAAAAGAGAGCTATTACCATCACATGACCAGCTCTCCCTGATTACATGCAGCAACCCCACTCTTGATGTCCAAACATTCAAGAACTAAAAAGTTTTGGTTTACCATCCAACCTAGTTGATGCAATAACAAAAAAGGAACATGATCTTAGGGATCCCTTCCCAAGTGTCGTACTAAAATGTTAGACTACATACACATGGCAATCAAGTTAACCAACAACCTATCAAGATGCTTCCACACACGAGCCCGTCCTTGTCTATTACTGCACCATGTAAATTTTGAACCAGAAAATTCAGCATCCAAAACTTCTGCCATGGACATAAAATCAAGGAAGTCTACCTCTTTATTAAAACGAAATTGCAAACCAACCCGGTTTTCCTCTGCACTTAAATCACTTTAAAATCTCTAGCAAGAAACCAAGGGTAGGAATCTGGTTTATCCAATGGCAAGTTGGACCACAAAGTCTCCCGTTCCTAACTTGTGCACTTTGCATAGAAGAAAGAGAAGTAGACTAATGCAAGAAAAACATGGACTGAATATGAAGAGTTAGAAGTTGAGAAGACTCCCAACTCGTTGACATGTAATACAAGACTGGTTAATACCCACAAGGATCCCCATTGATTTGCGAAACAACAATTCATTCCTACTTTTAATTGAATACCATTAATACACTCTAAATAAGCTTTAGGCTCACAAATTACCACCAGTTGTAAAGAATGCACCTATATTAACTTTCTAAGTCTTTTTAAATTAGGGGCTCTAGGTATACCCTTTATATTCCAAAACAAATGCTAAACATCAGACAACGCAGAAAAAGAATTATTTGAAGAAGTACTCCTAGAGCGTAAAGTATGATTAGAAGGAAACTTAGCCCAAATTCCCCGTTGTTTGGAACGAGAGAGAACTTGGAAGCCCTCTGTGTGATGACTCCATCTCCCCCTAAGGCATACCCAAGGATTTGACGCACCGCTTCCCCAACTCTCGCCAGAACTCACTACATTCACTACAATAAACTTTCAAAATAATTGTTCAATCCTCCAAAATAACATCTGAGTTCTACATTTCAATCAAAATTCAAACTTAATTACAATTCAAAAGTAAAACGTAAGATACACCACCAAATATCAATATATAATCTATTTGCCAAAAATACATGTGCAAGAGGGTCATTACACACTAGTTCAAACTTATTTGCTCCAAATCTCAACTCTTGTAAGGAAAATAAACTAATGGGGTGAGCTATTACCCAATGAGATTCCAAAACACTATGCAAACCAAGTAGCAAGTTGGAAAATATATATAACTTGAAATCTCAAAGTAAAAAGGAGTAAAAGTTCATGAAAGTAAGCATTAACACTTCAAGTAAAAAGTTAATTAGGCATTCAACACTTTCATGTATAAAGATACAGTTCGCTCTCGTGAGTTAATTCAGTGGCAGTTTGTCAAGGATCAGTTGACACTTTGTCAACCCTAGAAGTACAGTAACAAGTCAAGTAGAGCACAACTTAACTCCAATATCTGTCCACCGATCAAACCTCCTACCAAGCTCGAACTCCAATTAATAGTGGTGATAATACTCGAGTATACCGAATCCAGTGGACCGTATCCAGTGGATTACGCAATAAATAGTGGAGAAACAGTAAACATTGGAGTAACCAGTAACAGTACCTATGGTTCGCCAATCTTCTCGACCAAAGCCTTGCCGGTTCGATTAGATCAGCTAACTAATAAGGGTTTGGGATTCCAGGCAGTTATCAAGTCATGCACATATACATTAATCCACTTGTAAATAGTGTACAGCAATTAGTCAAGTTAGGTCAAATACGATAAAGTACACCCTTGCCAAAACAAACAAGTCAAGTACTATCCAATCACAATAAGAGAGCATTGTATTCAAACAGCAAGTTCAAGCATGTAATTGGAGACACTTACCAATCAAACATGAACTTTACACTTCTGCGTAGGCTCATCTTCTTGCCTATTCTCGAGTCCTGAGATCAAATATAATTACACACATGTACGTCGATTCCAGCCATCAAATATATCACAAGAAAGTTAAACTCATCCACTTTTTTCAAAAGCTCTACTTATGTTCACTCTTTCAAATGAAGAACTCGACGTGTAGTCCATCACATGTATAGGAAAATATTTGAAAAGCAATAGAGCCTTAATAGTTCATCTAAATTCAAGGCTTAAATCATTAAACTCAGCCCCGAAGTTCACAGATACAAGGTTTTTCTTGTTTATAAAACGGAAAAAGTCACGCACATGCTAGGTCAATATTTTTTTCACTGGTATGTAGGTAAATATACAATAGCTAATGTGACAACCCCACCTCCCCCTAGGGCATACCCCAGGGTTTAGCGGACCGCCTGCCTAACTCTCATCAGGACTCGCTCATGTACTTACACAGAAAACAATTTACAACTATTGAAAATGAATGAAACAACAATTCCCAAGCTTAGAATGTACATTGATGCTTAAGTTAAGCTCTAAGGCTTATACATTCCCAAATATCTCAAAATTTTTAAAATTTCAGATACATTCAACCCTAATCGAGTACTAGCGCGAGTACAATCGCAAAATTTCAAAAACTAGACAAT